TCACTAGGGGCTGGAGAGATGGCTTGCACAGTTAAGAAAACTGGATGCTTCTGAAGTAGATCTTGGTTCCGTTTGCAGCACCCATTTAATAGCTAGCCACCCTCATTAACTCCCATTCCAGAGGATCCAACACCATTTTCTGACCTCTAAGTGCATTTTACATATGTGATACACTTAACAGCCATGCACACAAAACACTCATACACATAAAATAAAAGTAAAATTTTAAAACAAATTCAGGCATCAAATAGAGGTACACGGGATTGGTTAGACAATAGGTTAGACATGAAGTAACCAAGGAATTTGTTGTATCTCATGCAGTTGAAATGCATCTTTCGGGTTAATCATACTTGAAGTTGTGGTTAATTTCTTCCTGCTATATCAGAAAAAATCCAAAAACATTTCACTGTGTCTTTCTAGCCAAAACAAATATAATGCATCCTAAAAAGACACTAACTTCATTATAAAAGGATTAACATTGTACATCTGGTCCCATTTAACGTGTTTTCAAGAAGTTCATGGGAAGGAATAATCTGAAAGAGAGCTCCGATATTCCACAATTTGGGAACTAAATAGATTCACGTTACTAGAATGTACTTCATTAAAAAACACTAAAAATTCTTAATTACTGTGTCTGACAACGTGCAGCAAATACTTCAGAAGCAGGAAGTCTGTCTGAGGTGATATGCAGAAGGTTATCCAGGTTTTTCGACTACCACAGTATAGTAGAGGCTGGTAAAGAAGGGAGAAAGGCACAGATGACCCAGGACAGAGCAGCAGGAGGTGGGAGCCACCCCACAGGTTGGTTGAGGCAGGAACCATCCAGGGGTGTTGCCATAGTTAAGTTCAGCTGTCAACCTGACACAACCCATAATTAAATGGGAAGAGGAAACTATGTTAAGGAATTTCCTAAAACAAATTTGACTGTGGCCACGTCTGTGAGGTACTTTCTTAATTGCTAACTGATTTAGGAGAAGATAGCCCACTGTGGACAGTGCCAGCCCTAGGAAAATGGGCCTGAGATGTATAAGAAATTTAGCACCCCCTGGTCTGTTTTAGTTCCTGCCTCTGGGTTCCTTTCATGAGTTCTTGTCTTTGTCTCTCTCAATGATGCACTGCTATCTATAAGCAAAATATAAACCTGCTTCCCTCCCAAGTTGCTTTTAGTCATGGTGTTCATCACAGCAACAGAAACCTTTAAAGTAGGACAGAAATTGGGACCAGGCAGAATTGTATTGCAACAATGAACCTGGCAATGGTGTTTTGGGGGTAGGATTGTGGAAAAAGAGGTCCAAGAGGGCATGGATCCCCTGGAATTAGAGTAAAAGATGGTTGTTAGCTACTATGTAGATTCTGGGAATTGAACCTGGATCCTCTGTAAGAGCAACCAGTGCTCTTAACCATTGACCTATATCTCCAACTCCTCAACAAATATTTTTGAAATAAATGAATGGATAAATAATTTTCTCATATGTGTTTGTGAAATTGCTTTGTTGACAGTAGTTCAAGATATACATTCTAACATCCAGCCTGACATGAATCATAATCCTAGATTGAACTTTGAAACATGAATATATT